CTTTCATGTGCTTTTAAACAACTCACTGAAGAGCAATTTGTATTGCATTTCGAAGGTTTCACAGATAATATGTAGCCTCTTATTTTCTCTCAAATAAAAAAAAAGTGGGATATTTTTCAAGTTTTTTACCAGCTTTCATAGCTCAGTCACAACTTGCTGCCAGTAGCTTCAGTGCTGGCTGCAGTTAATGTCTTTTGAATGACAGACAGAACCAGGGCTGTGGCCATTTGCAGGTAAGCAGGGAGGAGGAAAATTAGATGTTAGTGTTATCACGATTCCAGTTTGATAATAATATCCCCTCCAAATTCCCCAGAAATAACATATATTTTGTTAACTAATGCAAGTGCTTTTGTGAAAAGTGCAAGTGCTTTTATGAAACACTTCTGTGTTTCATACTAAGGGAAGATGAAACAATCTTTGGTGCCTTAAGAATCTTTTCTAAGGAACATTTTAATAGATWTCTAAAGGATACTTTTATTCCCACAGGACTTGTCTAAGATCATCAAGAAATGAGTTTGAACCTTAACTGGTGAGTTGCTGTGAGCCCAGTGCATTTTGCTTCCCTTATCTTCATTAGAGTCTTTGGAAAATATCAAAAGTCTGTCTCTMTTCACCATTAGTCAACCAAATGGCACTTGGGCTGTTCTTCACTGAACTCAATACCCTCTGGGCCACATCCTGGTTACTCCTATTCACTGCTCCTGGAGGAATTAGAGCAGACTGCTTCGGCAGTTCATCAGATAAAGCCTTTGCCTGAAATCCTGCTGTTTATTTCAATTCAAACGCCTGGCCACAGAGTTCCCTAGGGAAGAGTTTCGTTTCCCCATCTGTATGACTACTGAACACAAATATTGCCCTTGGGAAAACAGTTAATATATTTATTGCTCTGTTTGGTAGAGTATCAAATGAACACATCAGAGGCCCCTTAGGAAAAGTCTTCTCCAAAACACTGCTGTGGTTCTGCCAGAAAAAAAAAAAAAGACTTATACAGATGACAAGATGATGAATAATAAGAGAGACAGGACACATCACAGACAGGTGTCCTGTAAAATTGCAACCATGCTCCATATTCRGGGACAAATACATTTGTAATGCATTAAGAGAAACAAATCTGAAGGGTTATGGTGAAGAAGGGACCTGGATTGGTTCCTCCTCAGAAGTATTTTTTTAAAAAATACACATGATATTTTGAAATCAGCCCTGGCAATGCTTCTGTTAAAAAGGAAGTTGTTTCTAGCTGTACAGATAAAACTTGAAGACCTAATTTCAGTAGTGCAGTGAGCAGTTCTTAGTGATGACAAATCACAAAAATAAAACAAGAAGTCCAAGCTGATGCTTTCAGTGTATGCCCAACAAGAACCAGAAAGGCCTTGGATGTAAGGGCCAGGAAGTCTCTGGTAAAATGAGGGATGTTCCATCACTGGAAAAGTTTTCAGAACAGGATGGAGTGTGGAGTTACAGGAATACATAGCTAATATTTTGGACCCTGCTGATTCCTATTGCTAGGTACCAAATAATGGTCATGACGGGCAGGGCTGCAGAAATAGCCCTGTATCTGCAATACACCTTTTTATTTTAAATAAAACGAGTGCCAGGCAACAACTGTTTTGCTGGGCCAGAATTATGGGATTGAAGCTATGTTTACAGTACCTCCTACTCACCAAGGTGGAGTAAAGTCTCTTGCCATCGAGGGATTCCCCTGCAAAAGGGAATCTCCAGCTTCCATTTGACACTGTCCGAGCCAGCAGAAACTCCCCTTGGCTCCATGGGCCCAGCTGAGGCTGCAGAACCAGCTGCAGAGCCTGACAGTGAGGAAAGAGAAATCTCCTTCACCGAGGGTGAAGGCTTTGGGGGATGACTYGAGGAAAGCGGCTAACGTGATGTACCAAGTTCTAATGCTAGGTAAATATGAATGCAGGGCTTGAATGGCAAGGTTGCTTTTGGGTAACAGGAGGGATTTTCTTTCTTTAAATGAACAGGGCTAAAATCTGAGCCAATCTGCCTTCTTTGGAATACAAGGGACTGAAAATCTAAGAAGGGAGTCACAATTTGTCCTGTCCATTTCATTAAGACATGGTAGTCCTTTTTTGGAAAATAATAGTCCCTTTAGATTTTTTTTTTTTTCTAGGCCTCTTTCTTCCACCCCATGCTGATACAAGGGCAGTCATAGGCATGCCCTTGAATAGATAAAGGAACATATAAATCAATCAATAAGATATTAGATAGATATTTATATCAGAATATTGTCTAATACTGCAAGTGCTAGGCTATTATCAGAACTGTACCTACAGGATATGGAAACTCTACCCCTTGACTTATACAGGTACAAYTAGAACGTTGTAACTTGTCCTTCCTTTGCAAATGGCGCTTGATTCACTTCATAAGACCAAATCTTGACAAACCACTGATTTCTTTTGTCTAATTGTCCATTAAGTTTTCCTGTATTAAGAAACAATTTTTGTGTGTGCTGCTCCAAGATGCGCAGACACAGGGAGTCACCTTTTACTCTGTGCAACTCAGGAGAAAAGGGCAAAGAGTTTGTGAGTCCAAAGCGACTTGGGCAAGATTCTCTCCCACCGARCTGCATTGCAAAAGGCAACCAACATGAGGGGAAAATACGAAAAGAACCACAAAGGAGACACTGAGACGAAGGGTGTGTGGGTTTTACACACCTCAGATGGGATCCCACCAAGGTGCAGGATGAAACTAAACACATTTGCAACAACAATGTAGAACAGTACAAGAAAGAGCAAGTCCTTTTATGCAACTGAAAGAGAAATGAGGTCACTGAGTTCAATGAGTTTATCTTACTCCACCACTAGATGTTTGCACTCGTGCACTGTTTTCACTTTTATTTACATAAGAAAGGGCTACAGTAAGTTACTCTTGGCAATATGCTYATACCACAAATCTTGCCTGAGCATGTGAAAGAAAAAGATTTATTTTCAAAGCCTTCAAGTCATCAAATTCTTGTGAAATCCACTCCTTTTCTCTTGAAGGAAATTACACTGGCTCTGGCCTAACATAAGTTACTCAGTTAATCCACCCTCGGAAATAACCGTGRTTTAGATTATATCCTTTCATAGTAGGATCTTTAAGAGAGATGGTAAGTGACTCTATGAAGGGTAGCAGAATAGCCAGAGAAAGTAGACTTCAAGGAAAAGAGAATTATGAATTAGGTTTTATTATGATTATGTTTTCACATTCAGGGAGAACGTTTGTGATGCTTTTTGGTTTTTTTTTCTTTTTTCCTCTCCCTTAGTGGGAAACAAATTGAAATCATGCACTAAAAGAAAACACAGAAGTCAGCTTGAGGGCTATTCAAAATGTTTTCTTTTCTATTTTTTTCCTTCTAGACTGTAACTGGAAGTTTGAAATGACCTGTTGTCTCAAACTGAAGAAACAAAACTTTAATAGGAATAATTTAATAGGAAAATTTTAAGGTGTTCACCTATTCTTTTTCAGGGTTGTTGCTCACTGTTAGGGCTGTTGCCCTCCATAGATCCCCTTTTCAATGGACTCTTATGAGCTCCAGTGRAGCAAGGATTGTCTTCTGGCTAAAGCACTGGATTTGGGCTCAGAACACTGTGTTCTATCAAAATCAAATGCTAACTATGTTCCTCTGATGATTTCTATACTTCTCATTAAAACAGTCGTTGGTTAATATGCCTCGGAGATTACAAGGGAGGTGAGATGGGATGAGACAGAGCCGGGAATAGTACTCCAGGCTCACGTATCGTCAACACGAGTTCTGACAAACAGGATGGATGYACAGCAGTGGAGCGCGTGGCTTCAGGAGGAGAGGTTACAGACTGCTGCCTTCAGGAAATGCTGCCGACCTCTGGACTCCAAACCAGCAGAGGTTAATTCTGGGCAGCAAAAGACTCAGCAGCTCTGGCAGCCGGGGATGACACTCAGGCCCAAAGCTTTAAAAATTTACTTCTTCTAGGGCTTTCACTCTACATACATTAGAATCTTGGTGATTCTCATGACCACCTCACCACAGTGGTGAAATGCTTTGGGCCACCTGCTTCCCCCGCTTGGTACCAAGGCACAGGCTACYAAACTGAAATGTGGAGGCAACTGCATGTGCAAGTGCCAGGCTTGTGCCTCTCTCGCAAGAGGCCAACCAGCTGTCGTAAAAAAAAAAACATTTATTTTTGCTTCGGAATAAGCCCCTCTGGTGAGGCTAGACCTCGAATACTGTGTTCAGTTTTGGGCCCCTCACTACAAGACAGACATGGAGGTGCTGGAGTGTGTTCAGAGAAGGGCAAGGAAGCCGGGGAATGGGCTGGAGCACGGACCTTATGAGGAGCAGCTGAGGGAGCTGGGGTTAGTTAGTGTGGAGGAGGCTCAGGGCAGACCGTGTCACTCCCCACAGCTGCCTGAAGGGAGGTTGTGCTGAGGTGGGGGTCAGTCTCCAGAATAACTATAGACAGGACAGGAGGGAATGGCCTTAAATTGCACAAGGGGAGGTTCAGGTTGGGTACTAGGAAAATTTCTACACAGAAAGGGTGGTGAAGCTCTGGACCAGGCTGCCCAGGGTAGCGGTGGCGCCCCCGTCCCTGGCAGCGCTCAAGACACGTGGAGCTGAGGCGCCTGGGGACATGGTGCGGCAGGCACGGTGCTGAAGGGCTAACGGTTGGACTCGACGACCCTGAAGGTCTTTTCCGACCATAACCAGTCTACGGTTCCACGTTACCGCCGGGGCTGCCCCCGCGCCGCTATCCCAGAGCGCCCCCGCGCGACCCAGCCCCGGCTGCGTAGGCGGCGGCGGCCGCTCGGCCCCTTTAAGCGGGACGTACCAAGCGCGGCGCTTGGGGGGGGGGAGGGGGGAGACCGTCCGCGGCGCCTGCGGCTCCCCGCGCCCGGAACCCGCRACTGGCGGCGCCAGGGAAGAGCGAGCGGCGCGGACAGAGGACGAGGAGGAGGAGGGAGGCAGCAGGGAGCCCTGCCAGGTGCCGCCGCCGTCCTCCCCCCGCCACCCTCCTCCCCTGCGCGGGGCGCGAGTGGTTGCGCCCGTCCAATATGGCCGCCACCATGAAGAAGGCGGTGAGTGCGGGCCGGGCTGCTGTGCGGCTCCGCGGGGCTCCCCGCGCCGAGGGGCCGCGGTCACGCCACCCCCGGCGGCAGCTGCCGCTCCCCGCGCCGCGGGCCCCGTGTCCGCCGCGCCGGGGAAGGGCAGCGGAGAGGCAGCGCCCGAAGGAGGCTTCCGCCGCCCGTAGCTGGTCGCCCCGGGCGCAGCGTTGGGTGAAGGCGCCCCGGGGCTGCGGGCCGGGCGGTACCGGGCGGCACCGGGCAGCCCGCCCGGCGGCCGCGGGTCTCGCGGCGCCCTCGGGGACCCGGCGCCTTAGCTCTGTCCTCCTTGCAGGCCGCCGAGGATGTCAACGTCACCTTTGAGGATCAGCAGAAAATTAACAAATTCGCGAGGAATACCAGCAGGATCACGGAGCTGAAGGAAGAAATAGAAGTGAAAAAGGTATTCAGTGCTACCCAGTTCCTTTATTTTCTTTCTTTTTTTTTTTTTTTTTCCCCTTTCTGTCAATTTCTGACCTGTATCTCAGAGAATGGGCAGGAGAATAGGTAAATGATTTTTTTTTTTTTTTTTTTTTTTWYTTRTTTAAGGGTCAATACTACCTACTCGAAGACTTTTACAGACAGTAAAAACATGGACTTGTAGTTTGACGTTTTGCTAGTAGCTTAAGGTGTTAGAACTTTAAGCTATCCTGTTCTTGTGATAAGGTCATTAAAATTTGTCACCTTATTTGTTGTCTTGTTCTCTGGTTTAATTCAGAGATTCCTGTATAATAATACTTCAGATTCAGTATGACTGATTTAAYTTCACTTCACTTGTCTAAGCGGTTAACTGTCCTATTAGTGAGGGGTGCTGAATATTGACTAGGTCTCTGTGCAGGTAAACTCCCCAAGGCTGTAATACTTAATTGAAATGATTTCTCTTTTGAGTAGGATTTTTGTCCAAAGTGTGGCATCTCTCTGCTTCCAGTACTTGACATAAGTAGCATGCTAATGCATCCACGGTAATAATTCATGTAGCCCAAGGTGACCAGCTTTCTYGTGTCTTGATCAATAGAAGCAACTTCAGAATTTGGAAGATGCCTCTGACGACATCATGATGCTTGATGATAGTGACTCACTGCTGATACCCTACCAGATTGGAGATGTCTTCATTAGTCATTCCCAAGAAGAGACAGAAGAGATGCTGGAGGAGGCAAAGGTTTGTGGGGGGTGAAAGGGRGTCCCTTTAGCACTGTCTGCCATAGCGTGATGAGTCTTGTGGTGGGAGGGTCTGTTCATCTTTCATCTTTTTCTTTATGATTATCTTGGCTGTGATATTATGTAATACTGACCATTCATCTGAAGCCAGAGCCTGTTAACTGGTCACAAACCTCAAAAAGGAAATATTTTTTTCATTCTGATTGATCTTTGTCTTGTGTTGATCTTGAAGAGTAATGTATTTGGGCCAGTGATATTGAGGTGCTCAATTTGAGTATGTTTTATGAAGTCTTGTAATTTGTCATTTGGACGATTGGTTTATTCATCCTTTAACCATCAAAGGAGCCCAAATTGGCAAAAAAAAAAAAAAAAGGTTCCTTTGATTATATATTGCTGACAAATATGGCTCTATTTTTTCTAAGTTATCACATATATATATTTTTCTTTTTCAGAAAAACTTACAAGAAGAAATTGAAGCTTTAGAATCTCGAGTGGAATCAATTCAAAGAGTGCTGTCTGACCTGAAAGTTCAGCTCTATGCGAAGTTTGGAAATAACATAAATCTTGAGGCTGAGGACAATTAAGATTTTTTTTAAATTTATTCTTTTTTTATTGTTTTGTTATTGCTTTGACTTCTTTTCCAGTGATGTTTAAAAAAAATTACCCGTTTCTATTTTTGTTGACTTTCCTGTGTTGGATTCCATCTATTTAATAAGAACTATCTTATTTTGCTTCTTGCAGTAATTTATTTGTCCAGGAAAGCATTAGCATCATACTGTTGATAAAGCATCGAGATTAGAATAATTGCACTGTTTATTAAAACAATAAAATTGGATGCATATTGTAGTTTCCTTGGTCTTGTTTTCAGCTCAAGAAAATACTTGTGGACTACTCGCATACTAGAAGTGGGAGGGGTTCTAATTTGCAATGCACTGGCTCCTAGCTGGAAGTTCTTGTACAGTATTTCGGACATGGTCTCGCACTTGGCTATAATTCTGCTTAARTTGATCCAAGCAGCCCCTGCTGAATATACTAAGTCTGTCCTCTGTTTCTTTTCTCAATCTTAGTTTTGTGGCAGTGGTTGTTTGTTTTGTTGTGTGTGGTTTTTTTTTCTCTACACACCCATGCCATATATTTGGTATTTTAAGGTAAGTCCTTGTAACGTGTCTATCTTGCTAATTATGAACCAGGTAAAATGTATAAGGCTTTTTTCCTCAGGTGAATGCTCTGCTAGTGTTGGAGCTAGAGCCATAGCAAGAAGCATCCAGCAGATGGTACCGAAGTCCAGGAAAGCCTGTGTTTGGGCTTGAGGGAAAAGGTTTCCTGCAGCCATCCCYATCTCAGTCATTGGTTACCAGTGCTTCAAAACTCTCATCTAAGTGTCACCAAAATTCTCTAAATTTTGAGCACGTGCATGACTGTGTTGCCTGCAAATTTTGGCCATTTAAAATGATCATAATTTCTAGATGGGCCATAGTATGGATATAATTTATTTAAAGGAAGAAAAAATAAGTAGTAAGGCTAGTGGCAGTCCTAAATGAGATGAGGAACGTGGTGCAGTGAATCTTCCCAAAGAAGAGCAGTGGTGATATGTGGAACTTGCRTTTTTCCTGCATGTCTTCTATAGCTTAGAAATGGCATAGTCCATATGTGTAGCTGTAATGCTTACGAAACAGGTGATTATTACTGTTCTTGCAGATGCCAGAGATGCCTTCTGAGGTTAAGAATGGAACAAAATCATCTTGACCGTCTTTCTGGTGCTGGATTTTTGTCCTTTGGGATTTGTTTTGAGTCTGTATTTTTTTTAACCCAAAATGTCGAACATCTGTTTGTCTGCCATGGTGCTGATACTTTTTTTTTTTTTCCACTTCAGTAGAGTTTCTGGATTGGTAGTTTTCATGGATAGATGGTGTGCTTTTTCTGTTAGTTTAGTCCTAACTGTGGTTTGTGTATCATTGCAAGCTCACAAATCCAGCTGTAAGTTTGCACATGCAGTGTCCAGTTTGTTTTGGGAAATTGCAAATTTGGCATAATTTCATGTTTTAATCTGTCATATTGGTAGCTGATGCACAGGTTCTCAAATAACTTGCTTGTCTTTCATTTTATTAAACACCTTTCTCCCTCAGAATGTATGTACATTTTTCTCAGGTGAGGTTTTTTTTGTCTAGTTCCCTACCCGGCAAGCAGTTTTTATTCTCTATACACTGGGAATATACAGAAAAAAAAATTATATTCTAATACAACTGACTCAATATTGGCACCACAGCTACTATTCTGTGAGAAATATTCATTTTAAAACAAAAGTGATAGATTTTAAAACAAAAGTAGYAAGTGATCTTTTAAGTGGACAGTCAAAACCTGAAATTGAAAAAAGTGCTCGACATGTGCATACCTTCTTTCCCTACAACTTAATTATGTGACTTTATTATTTAATTAAAATACATTTTAATTTATTTTAAAAGGTAGATCTTGGGAAGCACCTGTGGTTACTYGCTGTACTTTCTTACAAGGCGCACAAGCAGCAGGCTGGGCAGCRTTCTGTGAGAAGAAGGGACACAGCCATTTTACAGAGCGTGATGAGATGAAAACCACAGTGAAACCAACTGTTCTATCCTTGATTATTGATAGGGGGCTTTATTAGAGCTTTAAAAGCTTAGACGAGATTACAGCCATAGTTCCCAGGCTACCATGGAAATGCCACTTCAAATGATAAATCCCTTAGAGTGACATTAGTATTTTAAAGGATATCATTAAATAATTGTTCAGGTGAAAAAGTGGATTTTTAGCAGCTCTTGGAATTGATTTCTTCCCTGCTTTCTCCCCATCTCTTTTTCAAAGAGATACTCATATTCCACTCTTTCCTCCTATGGAACAGGTATTTGGACTGCTTGTCTTCAAGGCAGTACAGGGACAGGTGGCATCACTGCCCTGTAGTGACAACAGAATGTGAAAACATTCGTAACAGAATTTTAATAAGTATGAGAACTTCTTTACTATTGAGAATAAAATTCTTGTCTATTAATTGTTGTAGTGGTATCAGAACAGAATAGAGCTCAACAGAGTGGTGGTGCTGTTCAGCCTTTTAACTAAAAGCACGTAAGTGCATAAAGCTGTTATGTTTTCAACTGGCTGTTTATCTGCACCGAAAAGAGAGTTAGATTCTGAGTTTGAAAGKGTCAGCGTTGCCTGCCAGTAGCACAGAGCTGGAGGGTCCGAACCTCTTGACTTCCTCTGGCAAAGATGGGCAGAAAGAGCACTGACAACCCCCCAAAGCTTAATTTCTCATTTTCTCAGCGTTTGACCAAGGCAGCATGCTTTGGAAAGTGTTTAATTAGACATTCGCTTTAAAAAAAAAAAAAAAAAACTCTAAGAAGAATTTCTGGTTTTCTGTCAATCTTGGATTAGCTAATCTCTCAACATTTCCCCATGTATTTAATAGGCTTTCAATTAAAATACCAATTAACTTTTTTAAGAAATGGCCAATTATATCTTTAATTACAGCTTTCAAATCCAGTGTTGTATTTAATTGTAATTAGATTGTGAAATTCCAGCTGTATATGCACTTAAACAGGGACAAAGCTTCTGCTCGGTTCCCTGCAATCAGGATAAAATAGGAAAGTTTGTCTTGGCAGGTGCAGAAAGGCTGAGAAGGGAGGAACCAAGGAGGAGACTCTATGGCTGTGCTGGTTGAGTGAGCTTAATGCTCTGCAGAGATCCAAAACAGGATCTGAAAGTCTGTTTATTGTGCTGATTCAGGGGTATCCATAATCCACAAAACTAAAGCCCATATTCAGCATTATTTTCTTTACATCTCATTGTCAGATGTTCTCTTTGCAGGTTCTGTTTGTGTTCTCTTTTACCTTGGAACATACTAAACTGGTATTAAAAAGGGGTTGATTTATGCTTTAGATWTTTTTTGTCCATTTGAAAGCACACAGTCTTAATATGTCATCTTTCATCACTTTAAATCTCATCCTTCTAGGTACTTTGTGGCAGGGCGAACTGCAGTCTTTGAAGTTTTAATATAATAATCCCCTTACTAGCTGCGGGAAAGGCTTGCAAGGTATCTGCTTTCTTCAGGCTTCCTGTGTGGACACGACTTAACAAAGCTGTGCTTCACTTAATGCAGTTAGAGGATGGGCACCTATTGAGCTGCTGCTTGTAGTTAGCTCCGTTCTCCAGGGTATGCCAAGCACATCAGTGAGCTAACAGCAGTGTCACTGTTTAATTTAAAATATTATATTCTAAATCTGCACTTAAACCCCTTTGCTATATTCTCACAGCGAAGGGAGCCTGAGTTTGTTCCTTAGTGACCCGCCACTTGTCAGGTAAGCCAGGGTAGCTGACAATGTGCGTGGTGCTTTGCCAAGGCAAAATAACTTCTATTGTCCTAAACCAGCGCGAACAACTTCCACTGTCAGTCATTCTCATTAAAAACACTTGACTTCATGTTGCTCTTCCTGCTGCTCTGTCAAAATTCTCGTATTCCTTCTAAGAAAACTGTGCCTAAACTGTGTAATTTGTGTGTTGTCTATATTGGGAGGATGTGCAACATGGCACTATGAGTAGCAGCCGTGATGACAGTTCATTACTGCATGGATCTGAAAGGCTTTTCTGTGTAAGAATTGAAGTAAAAAAGTTGAGGATTGAAGTAATTTTGAAGCGGAATATAACACAAATGTCTGGGCTATGTGAACTATAGGCAAAATAGAAGAGAATAAGCTTTTTAGCCACTTCCTTAATTAAATAAGGCTAAAAATAATCTGARTGGAATGCAAATAGAGCTATGGGCTAATAGAGCCCTTTACCACAACTGTAAACATTTTGTTTTTACTGTTGATTTCTTTGGTCTTAAGCAGCAACTTTATGTATAAGCATCAAGAAGAGCAATACAAATGCCCAGCCCCTCTCCATGATAAGTGATATCATATATCATGTGTCATATGGGAAAAACTCCACTTGAATGCTTTYTCTGCTGCTATATTCTTGGCAYATACTCCAAATTTCAGCAAAAATATAGACCTAGTTTGGTGAGTCACTTTCTTGATTGATCTAATTTACCTTGAAGGTTAATGTATTCTAAGCTAATTCAGAGATTAATAACCATTTAAAGATATATGAAAGGCATTTAACTGTATACCGGATGGGTGTTGTAACCTAGTTTATTATCTCTTCAAATGAACTCCTAGAGTCATTGAAGAGATTTAAGAGTTATTCGATTGTTCGATACATGATGTGGTAGGTGCAGAGTATGGAAGCTGTTTTCAGAGATTACTCTGGTTAATAGTGGGGGGGAAAAAGAGGGATGTAATTCTGTTTGCTTATATAGCATACTTGAAACAAAACATTAATTTTCAAGGTGATAATGTTCTCTTTCCTTGGCATTTTAAGCAGTCTCTTCATTAAAATTCTGTCAATGATTAAATAATTAAGTTGGACAGGAATGCTGGACTTGTCTATTCTCTGCCTGGCTTTTAACTTCTAGGATAAAAACTGCAAAGCTGGACTTGCTCCTCCTTTTTCACGAGAGGCAGAATGCCAAGGTAAAGCTTTGCCTTTATCTGTAATGAATCATGTCAAGTTTAGGTATTCTTTTAAAAAAATAAACCAGTGCAAGTCTGTTACAAGCCTTGTGCKCATATAAGCTTAACGTATCAGCTTAGTGTTTTTATGTTCTTTCTGTTGGAAGATTGTGGAGGTTTTTCTTCTAAAGAATGAAGACAGGAACAGAATAAGATACAACCCATAGCAGGTTTAGACAGGTTAAAATGTTCAAGGAAATGTTAAAGCACCGTCAAAACTGTCATAAAATTGATGTCAACAGCTGGGTGTTAGTGTC